TTTAGTGCTTTTTATCCAGTTTTGGAGATAACTGTTGAGGGGATGTCAGCATTCTCTTAAGTGTAATGCAATTAGATGATATGTGCCTTGAGATGCAAAAAAAATAATGCACATGATTCACAACCAAGTTACACCCCAAAGTTTGTGGTAACTTGGGGGGTGTTAATTGATGCAACGTCCAGACGCAGAGGATCCAAGTGCAGGATGAATTTTCAACAAAAAAATCAAGTGGTGGTTGTTCACTTTAAGGTAGTCGGCAAAGTCAAACAATCCAGACAATCGGGAGGCAAAAAAGCAAAGGGTCATGCACAGGGAATCACTATAAACACAAGAACAATAATAAGAACATGAGGAAAGCCGTAAAGTTTGACAAAATGAACACAAGGTCAAGACAATCTGGTAACTGGGGAGTGCAAGACAGCACGCGTATATACTGATTGACTAATTGGAAACATGTGTTACAAATACCGCTGATACTCATTAGGGCATGACAGACAATTACCAAGGGGGTAACACAAGCAGGGCGCCACGGCGGTGCAGCATTTAGCATTGTCACCTCACATCAAGAAGGCCCAGGCTTCAAATCTGCCTGTGTGGCACTTTAATGTTTACGCCTCCTCAAAAGCTCCAAAGACATTGCTGACGGTTAACTGCTATACTAAATTGGCTGTGGGTGTTAAAGACAGCATGGATGGTGACTTTCAACTGGACAAGCAGTTAAACGTGATGGATGGAGGGACCACAAACAAAGACAATAAGTGAAAATGACAAAGATGAAAAGAGACTAAAATTAATATTCCAGAATAAAACAGGACAAAGTTAACATCCTTTCATGCACCACTTGTAGCATGACACATGCTTCATTCTGCTCAGTGATGTCAATTAAAGTTTAATAAAAGAGAAGGCCTGTATCCAGGTCACAGGATATGCAGAGAATGTCTTAGAGTGCCTTTCTTTAAATTTTGCTTAAATAAAGGCCTGTGGCTCTGGAAGCAGCGCGGATTGTCTTATAAATAGAAAGGTCGGTGGTTCCATCTTCGTATCAAGTGGCAAGATACTGAACCCAGAGTCACCCTTAAATCTGTGAATGTTAGGTTAAAAAGATTAGGATAGAAAAAATGTGAATGAGAAGAGAATGAATGGATGGATGGATGGATGGATGGATGGTTGGATGGATGGGTGGTTGGATGGATGGGTGGTTGGATGGATGGATGGATGGATGGTTGGTTGGTTGGTTGGTTGGATGGTTGGATGGTTGGATGGATGGATGGATGAATGGGTGGTTGGATGGATGGATGGATGGATGGATGGATGGATGGTTGGTTGGATGGATGGATGGTTGGATGATGGATAGATGGATGGATATGTGTGTATGAATGGGCTTGTAGTAAGAAAGCACTTTGAGTGCTCAAATAGAGTATAAAAGCATTATGTCAGTACCGGTCCATTTACCATACTCTTACAAGCCCATTACTGTTTCCTTATCCCACACGTGCATCACACAACTAAAGGCAGACTATTACACAATCTATTAGAGCAATTGGCTTCTAAAGTAAAGATCTGGTCTAAGAGCATAAAACTTTTTATCCATTACCGTCTGTGCATGTTTATGGATGAAATACAGCCGTGCCTTTTTAATCGTTTATGATAAGAGACTCTGTGGAGAGCTCTGCAACAGCAAGAGAAGGACTTAAATTTGGAAACACGTTCTGAAAGCAGAGTTATATTTTGGTTTGTTAGTGTTTCCAACATTGTGCTGTAACATGAAATACTGTTATGGGTGTCGCGGTTTTCCTTTGTTCATTGCTCTGTTTCTGTGCAAGACTTGTTTAACTTTACGGATGTGAGAGCAAACTGTAATTTTCAAATGTGCTCCTCTGTCCTTCTCTTACAAATTGTGGCTCAGTGTCAGTACAGCCATACTGGATATTAGGTGCTGCCCCATCCACCACAGGACTAATGAGATCGAATTAACAGTTTTACGCTCAATGAAACTAGACTTGGCTTTAGATTTTGGCCAGGAGCCCAAAAAACCACTGGGACAACATGCAGACCCCGCGGAGTAACTCTGAGTGTTACTGAACTTGCTGAACTAATGTTTCTCCCTGTGTTTACATATGCAGATGCGAGCTTATGTCACCCCGAAGACTGTGTTGACTGTAGCGGAAAGTTGTACTCAGAATTAATAATTAGCTCTCATTTCCCTCATTGTGAAAAAAATGTGTCTAAAACACTGATACCTCTGACTACATCTATTTTAGAGACTTTTAAGAACTTGTGCTGCTTTTAATTTTATAGTTAGTCGCAGGCAGTTAACAGCACTGTGCTTTGGAAATATAGGGTATCTGCCCTGTTCTTACAAGCCGCTTGAGGCCTGTACATCCACAGTGAGAACTTGGTCTGTATTGCCAGCAGTAAGTCAGATCCATTCACAGTGGGTCGCCTTAATTCTGTTAAAAAAAAATGTATGGATTGAATTTGGAGGTGTAGCCAGGTATAGGAAGCCGTCCACTTTGGTAGTCTCAGGATTCTATCGCTGCTTTTTGTGGAGGATGTGGGTCTATTGACTTGATCAGGTGGTGGCCTCCAGCTTGCACTGGGATGGTGGTGGTGGAGTGTTAGGGGACAGGAAGTAAAATTAGCACCTCATAGTCTGAGGCCATAGTTGTAAGCTGGAAAAGGGTGGTGCCCACTCTGGGTCAAAGGCAAGTGGAGGAGTTTATTTATCTCAGGGCCTTGATCACAAGTGAGGTGAGACTGGAGCAGGAGATTGTCAGATGGATTGGTGCAGAACCAGCAGTGATGAGGACGCTCATCATTGAGTTTAAAACCAAAGCTGTCATTTGCCTGGCTGATCAATGTTTTTACCCTTACCTTTGGCCATGAGCTCCAGTTATGAGTGGCAGTAATTAGCTTCCTCCAAGGTTTTCTTTCTTACAGACAGAGTGACAAGTTCTGGTACTTGGGAGGGGCTCAGAGTACAGACACTACTCTTCCACTTCAAAAGGAGCCAGCTGAGGTGTTCCAAGCACGTCTGACCAGAAGGAGGCCCAGGGGTAGACCCAGGATATACTGGAGAGACTATGTTGTTTAGCTGGCTTAGGAAAGTTTCATCTTCTCCATACCACTAACCCAGATGGATGGATGGATCCATCTGACTGAGGGAATAATTTTACTTTCCTTGCAAAGAGATCTAAAGCAAAAAGCTGATAGTCGAGGTTGCAGATGAGCAAAAGGTAGTCTGCATATATGAGCACTGCACTGCAGATGCAGAGAATTTGGGGTATTAATGTCTGATTTATGAACATGAGTAAAATATATGTAATGTAGGATTGAAAATAAATGGTCAGTCATAGTTTATTTTAAATGTATGTTCTATGATTATTCTCAGTCTTCGCTTTACACCTGCATTGACCATAACACACACGTACTTTTCGCTTTGCTTTCATTCTCAATTTTCCCTCCATTATTAACCTTTATTATTATTACCCCAACATTATTTCACTGCATAACTATGAAGTTCCATCAAAGCTAAACGCAAAGCATACCCAGTCTGAAAACTGAGCAATAAAACTACAATTTAAGACCAATTATGGGGGGTCAGGTAGTACCGACTCTCTCCTTCTTTGTCTCTGAAACAGACAAAAATGGCCAGACTATACACTCATGTAGAAATAAAAATAAAAGACTCCCATTTACTAGTTTTTAAAGATAACAAAGCCAAATGAGTCTACATGAACACATGACAGAAACATCTGCCACATTTCAGATCAGCCACTGCAAAAGAGGAAACTTGCACTGCATGAAAATGTTATTCTTCAAGCCCTGAAACCCAGCTTTGCTTACCTGAGTGACCACAAGTCATTGGTCATAGGTCTACAGCTGATTGTGGCTGTAAAGAAGAGGTCAGTGAAATGATCTAATATCCACTATGAAGCCACATTTTTCTGCCACAGAACAAGAAGCACAGTCTATGTGAGAAGACTCAAGTGCTTCACCCATCCTCAGTCCTGCAGTCTTTAGGTGCCATTAGCTCATTTACTTCATCTGTTTCCAGGCCCATTACCTCCAGAGAAAGAAATTATTTCGGCAATCCTGCCAGACAGGACCAGCCAGCCCAAACATGGAGAGAAAACCCCAGTAATAGCCCTGGTTAAATAAAAACACTGATCAGGTATCCTGACTGGTGTGTCTCCGTGTCAGCCGAGGCCGATGGACACAAAGTGGGGACATACCGTAAAAAAGACAAAGACTTGTGGATGAAAAGTCAAAAGGTGACAAACTGGCAGGGTTACGTCTCTGATTAGGATGATGCTTACATTTACATTTTGATGCCTACATGGCATTTTTACATGTTGCTTTTCTTCTCTTTTTTAATGTTTTGTGGTACTGGCTGCTGTTTCTTGTGTGTCTCTCCTCCACCTCTCTGCATCATCTCCTCTCCTGCAGAAGGTTGCATGATCAGGTAAATTAGTAAAAAAAAAAATTCTTAGGACATTGACTAATCCATCACCGCTTGCCAACCTTCAGTCCTGGTCTTGTATTTACCTGAATGAACACAACAAACGACAATATTAAAAACTCTGTCCATCATTGGTATCTATAGCTTTTTTGTAAAAACACATCAGCACTCATTAGTTAGTACTAAAGATCTATCATATATAGTGAATCACTCTAGTTTTCCTGCATTTTAACCTGGAACACTAGTGGAATCCAGGGCACACTCACACTTCTGTCTTTTCTTAATGATTTGTGGAGAAAAACAAAGAAGTGCCCCCCCCCATTTTCTTCAAATTCATAGTCACTCATTTATCCCAAACCTCCCTTGCTCTCTCTCCCAAACTCCCACCCACCCTACGTACTCTCTTTTCTTGGCAGCAAAGAGCAAAATAAATGCATCCCAACAGTCTGGGGGGTTAGAACAACCCATTTGCTTTAATGAGGTGATCCAGTGTGTTTTCTCTCCCTCTCCCCTTCTTTCCTTGTCTATCGCTCTCTCCCTCTGTCTTTAGCCAATTACACACTGTCCTTTTTTGCATCCCCCCCCTCTTTTTTTATGCTCACACTCATTTTCCCTCCTTCTTTCTGAAGGCCTCGGTGAGCCCTGATAGGCTTGCTGGGGATAAAACCTGCAAGTTGGGAGAGGAGAGGGACATTTTGGAGCAGGATGGCAAGAGGGACGGTGGCCACATACCTGCATGGAGTCCTTCTCCTGGCTCTCTGGAAACCCTCGCTGCAAGGAGGTGGGTCCCCTTTACTGCATGTGTGTGGCACCCAGTGGAGATCAGGTGTCACATAAAGTTTCTTTAGCATTTGTAAAAGAGAAATTCATGGACAGCTCTTTTTTTCTTTGTTTGTATGTTCTATGAGATCTGTGAGAGGTTTTGCATTTATAAACTGGCCGCTAACAATTATTCTATTATTATACCATCGATTTCCTCAGTGAAAGCACATTGTATTCAATGTCCAAAAATCTACTACAGAGCTAAATTTACTTGACTGAAGAAGCTATTTCTTAGCACCATGAGTGTAGCATCATTACCAACATGTCTGCAGCCTGTCCCATCTCAACTCTGAAGAACTTAAAGTCTAAAAATGGTTTTCTTAGTCAAATTCATTTGCAGCCTTCTGAAAATACTACATTGACCTTGCAGTCAACATGCCTTATATGTTCATAAAAAGTGCATTTTTTTCTTAACAATAAATCAAGAAGACAATGCTTTGTTGAGTGATTCTAAGATATTGCTGCTTTAACTTTCCAAATGCTAGTTTCCTCCCCCCTCATCTGTCTGGGAGAAAGTGCTGAAGCAGGTGAACGCGTAAATTAAGGATGACACACTTTAGACAAATAACTTCTCAAAGCCCAGGTGTATTCATTTTCTCACAGTCAGCTCCTGAGGCATGAGGTCTGGACAACAGGGTTATACTTAAAGCTTTTAATGAGGTGTTGCACCGTATTAAAAGGTTTAATTCAAACTGTGTGCTCCAGACCTCATCCATCCAAGATGCCTTTTCATTGTCTTGTCTGTTTAAGCTTTGAGCCGGCTGATCTGAAGAGGTTCCCCCTCAACTCTTCCTGTCTTGTTAGACGAGACATCCGCTGGTTTAAGAGCTGTTCTAGACTGTTGTGTAATTTGCATTCACTCGAGGTCAGGCTGAACCACTGCACGATCACTGGAAAGCAAGGAGATGGTATCTGCTGTTTAGCTTCTTTGTTTTGGTCTTGCTTGGGATCTCAACATCTGCATTCTTTGAAATGGTACCTCAAGCCAAAAATAAATTGAAAACCTCAGCACAGACTTTATAGGGTACAGCAAAAGTTAAACTGTGTGAGTTTTAGAAGCAGAAGCCAAAAATAAGGTAAGAATGCCAGATTGCTTTTTTGCCTTTATCTGATAGGACCACCTACCTCCTGAAGTCTGCATTGCGTGATGACTTCAGTGACAAAAAAGGCCAGCATACAGAGAGCGCACAATTAAGCTGCTGGATACAGGAAGTGTTACTTAAGTTTTTGTCTTTCTAAATTAGATAAGAGTCAGTGTTGCGCTGGCAGGAAATGAGAAGTGGAAAGAGGATGACACGACAAAAGGTTTTCCTGCCTTGACTGAAATATGATCACTGGATTTGGATGTTAAGTGAGCCATCAGACATACTGTGACTTTTTCTGAGCTTTAAAATAACAAAACTGAAGTTCAGACTCTGTGAAGTTATAACTCCTTGCAAATTAATCCAAGTTGTTGGGTGCTATAAAACAAGATATTGAACTAATTGAAACCCGGTGATGGGAATAAAACTTGCAAAAACAACCAGCTCACCAAAGTGCATTGAAGAACATCCAAAACAATGAAAGACCAGTTTTAATCTGAAGATCAGATGTAAACCTGTTGATTGTAGTAAAGGAAATAATCACCAAATTCAGCAGAATTTGTCCTCTGGGGTTCCCGCAGTTAGGCTAGCATGGCCTAAAACAGTAATATTTGTATATGGACTTAGCAATTAAATGTGGCAGGCATTATTACTTCACTAATGAGTTATTAATGACCCTGAAGAAAAATCCCTTTCCAAACAGTGACCAAATCTCTGGTGAATTTGAGAGCATACCTGTCCTGTCCAATGTTTAATTCCAATAAAAATTCCTCCAAAAACAACAAAAGCCTTTTGGCAAGCCTGTCCAGAACAATCTAGCCGGCAGAGCTGAATGACCGAACAGTTAAGTTATTTACTGTGTTGGAAATGTGCTGTAAATGGCAACACTATGAGATCAGTAACCCACATTCTTTAGGAATCCCTACAGACCTTTACACATCTGGACTGTGGGATCTTAGAAAGCCTTTCCTTTTATAGTTGTTCACGCTCCCTGGTTCTATTTTTGGTTGTTGTGATTTGAAAACAACATAGGTGCAAAAAAGTGTGAGAATTGTGACCGAAGCATGCCATTTGTATGAAACAGCGTTTGTTATTGGCTGCAGAGAAACTCGGATACGGAGCAAAGAGATGATAATCGTTGCGGACAAGCGCACACGTACACGCTTTCCACACTTTTCATCATCTCCCTGCTTGTGTGGCATTAGATTCTATTTGTTAAATGTAATCCTTGGTGTTTAGGCAAATTAAATGGGTTACATCCTGCAAAGAGGTGAAAATTATGCCCTATTAGCGCCGACAGATGACTCACAAATTCCACAAATTCTGTCAGGAGCCCGAAACATGGTCACCAATAAATTGCTGTGTTTGTAAGGTGATGTAAATGGCTTTGTCTGCTCATATAAAAAGAACTGTGCAACTTTATTTTATCAATAATACCCACTGTTTTTTATAGCAGAATATTTCTACAGGCACAGAAAAACCTACAATATTAAACACATTGCTTTTGCACACTGTGAACAGGGGTATATGTACCTGCTGGAGGTGCGACTGGAGGAGTCGGGCCAGGAGCTGGAACCGGATTTGGACCAGGAGGCATTGGGACAGGATTTCAGCCTGGAGGAGGTGGACCAGGAGGCACTGGTACTGCTCTAGGAGGCTTTGGACCAGGAGCTGGTGGAGGTAGGTTTGAGAGTTTCTCCCCAAGTTTTACTGAATCTGACTGCAGCTGCACAGAAACACTGGCTGACATGTTTCAACTTATCCTTGGACCGCTACAGGTAATCAGCATTCCTTTCAGATGCAGTTGTTCTCATAAAAATAGCTAAAGATTTAAGATTTATCGTCAATTACACAAGCACCATTTTTCAAATGTTCTATACCTTCTGTTTAAATGAAATCAGTTACTGGAGGAGTTCCAGGTTACAAGCCATGAAAAAGCTTTAAACGCCACGCTATGTTTTCATGTCTCACCAATAATGAATTCCTCATGTTGCGTTCAACAACAAGAACAAAATCTGGCCATAAATTTGCCTATGATGTTTGGCTGCTTTTCAGCTTTCTACATACACATGTCATCTACATCAATCTTTCTGTGCTTTCAACTCACAATCACTCTATTCCTCAGGGGGCTATGGAGGTCAAAGGCCAGGTGGTGTAGGCCCAGGAGTCGGACCAGGTGGAGTGGGACCAGGTGGAGTTGGACCGGGCCTGGGACCAGGAGGAGTGGGACCAGGAGGTTTTAGGCCCAGCAGCTTTGGTCCTGGAGGACTGGGACCTGGAGGCGTTGGGACTGGTAAGACAAATATAGTCGTGAGATATTTTGTTTACTTCTTGATTTATTGATTGATTTAATTATCTGCAAAGAGCAAAGTTTTTCCTTCTGTTACTTTTCACCTAACTGTCCTGATTACTTTCTTCTTAAAGGTGTCAAGCCTCCAAAAACAGGTAATATGTTTGTTTGTTTTTTCAATAAATCTTCAAATGTCATGAAATTTATGCAACAAAAAGTCAACTTATAGATCACTCTGATGGCTCTAAGAGCTCAAGGTGATTTCTCCTTTATTTAAATAGGAGGCGGCTATGGTACTGGTGGAACAGGACTAGGACCAGGTGGAGTCGGGACGGGTGGTTTTGGAGCAGGTGGTGTTGGTCCTGGTGGTTATGGAGCTGGGCCTGGAGGAGTTGGTCCAGGAGGTTTTGGAACCGGCACTCAAGGCATATTCATCATGATTTTTTTTTTTTGGGGGGGGGGGGGGGGGGGGGGTGTACAGGTAGCATATCATAAATTGTAGATTTTCAGCACAACAGTGTGTCTGGTGCCCAGCAACAAGTGACAGGCATATTTGATAAATAATATAAAACACAAATTAATACATTAACTTCACAAAGAGATTACTCGTGAAAAAAATAATCAAGTATTAATAATGCAATCTGCTCAACCCCCAACATAGTACATGTTAAAGTTTGGGGATCTGTGTTCAGCCTCTGGTTAATTCCAGGCAGCAGGATAAGAACAGCATCGATGTACCTTCATTTCATATCTTCTGTCTTCTAGTTTACTGTTGGTGGGGACCCAGCCTGATCAGTACAGACACATACAGCGATAAAGGCTGATCCATTAGGCTTGGCAGACTCCCAATGAAGGAAAAAAGTCATTACATGCGTCAGAAAGACTGATATGTTTTGGAATTTCAGTCCATTCTGTTTTCAATCCCCCAAATCATGGAAGTGACAATATCCAAACTAATCCTAGACGTTAAACATCGGCTTTGTGTAACATTTTGAAATCCATCTATTGTGCCTTTATTTAGAAAGTGTAAACAAACCAAGTCTAGGTAAGTGTAAGCAAAGGAAACAGATTCACATATCATATTTTCCAGTTTACTGATGTCTGGCCATCTCAGTGAACACATTTTTCATCCTCACTGCATGTTTATGTACACTAAGTATGTGCGTGTGTGTGTCTGTGTGTGTGTGTGTTTGCATGTTCCACTCTGAGGAGGTACATGTAAACATAGGCAAGCAATAGAAGGCATGCATTATGAATAAAAGTAAGTTCCAAAAATGGAAACCATTGCAAGCCAAAATTATGCAAACGAACACAATGACAATTAAATTATATTTCAAAGAAAAAAGTTCTTGTGTGAAGCTCGAAATGACCTAATTTGTATACGAAGCATGAACAGCAGCACCTGTTTTAACGGGAAGTTGCAGAATTTTATTTATGCTACATGTTTTATTTTCATTCATATCTCTTTAGAGGCTTTTGATTCCTCTCTTTGACCAGCTGTAATTGATTCAGTTACTGTTAAAGCCGGAGGTTTAAGAGGTTTTAGAGTTTATGACTCTAAAAACTGTAGTTTTGTCTTGGGCAGACATAAATGTGTAATAGTACAAAAGCATCAAGTTGCACAAAATTAGTTAGTGTATGATTTAACTGGTGTTTGGAAATTTAGGTAGTACTAAGTGCTCCTTCTTTACGTTTTTTCACCAGGGTTTGGAGGCCTTGGAGCAGGAGGTACTGGGACTGGTGGAGGACTTGGAGCTGGAACAGGTTACACACCTGGAGGTCAGCAGATTTCATATGTCTGTATCAGCGTGGCTCTTGCATGTATATCAGCTAAATACTTACCTTTATACATGCTGGATCTCTGTGATCCAAATACCATAGGCATACTGTACATACCACACAAAGCATTGGAAATGGCTGAAATATGAAATATGATTAATGTGTGGTAAACATAAATATAAACTGCTTGCCTTTAAGGATGCATATGTAGCAAATAACACTCTGGTCTAACACAGGTGGATATGGAGGTGGTTATGGACCAGGTGGAGGAGTTCAATACCCAGGAATTGGTGGAACTGGTCCCAAACCTCCTAAAACAGGTAGGTACTATATGTTTATGAATTAATATTAGATGATACTATATGACTGACCTATGATATCATATCTTTCTTTTTCATCTTAGGTGGAGTTGGAACAACACTTGGAGGAACAGGATTTGGGCCTGGAGGTGCAGGGGTTGGGCCGGGTGGAACAGGATTTGGGCCGGGTGGAACAGGATTTGGTCCCGGTGGTGCAGGGGTTGGGCCGGGTGGAACAGGATTTGGCCCTGGTGGTGCAGGGGTTGGGCCGGGTGGAACAGGATTTGGCCCTGGTGGTGCAGGATTTGGCCCTGGTGGAACAGGATTTGGTCCCGGTGGTGCAGGAGTTGGGCCTGGTGGAACAGGATTTGGGCCTGGTGGAACAGGATTTGGCCCTGGTGGTGCAGGACTTGGGCCTGGTGGAACAGGATTTGGCCCCGGTGGTGCAGGAGTTGGGCCTGGTGGAGGTATATAATATACATACATTTCCTCAACAATAAAAAGAAAGCTTTTGTGATTAAATCGTAATAATAAATTGACATTTAAACAGTGCATGCCACATTTCCCGCTATTTGTAAAACATACTATTCTGAATTTTCAAGTAGTTTGTGTCTTACTTTTTAAAGTTGATGAAACTTTTGTCTATAGAAAACATTTTTCCTCTTTCAGTTCCAACATTGCCACAGACTGGTACCACTGGAGGAGGACCTGGGGTAAAGAGTGGTGGAAAAGCATCAAAGCAAGTCCCAGGTAAACTTATCACAACACAAAAACAAGAATGCAAAAGGCTTTGCAGTTCTAAATTTAAACCAGAAACACTGATTTTTTTGGGTGGCGGTGGGGTATTGCGTTAATATGATGTCACACAGGCATTGGCGTGCCTGGACTCTATCAAGGTGGATTTGTCCCAGGCCAAGGTATGTTGAAACATATCAAACATATGATAAATAAATGCACGATGGTACGATAAAATAAACAATATATCAGTATAAGAGATTTCGTTTACAGAAGAGGTTGCAAGTGTTATCCCGTCTTCTCTGATCAGGGTTTGGAGGCCGTGGTGTTCTCCCTGGAGTGGCTACAGGAACTGGACTAGGAACTCAGAGTGGTATGTACATGAACTTTGTGAATACTGTAAAATCTCATCTTCAAAAAAAAACAAAACACGTTGCCTTGTTCCCTGCAGGAGCTGGAGTACTTGGTCAGGGTGGCACTGGACCGGGAGGTGCAGGCAGTAAGCATCATAAAGCCTAAACCTAAAAGCTGTGTGATATTACAAGTACAACTGTTGTGCATTAATTGGCTTTTAAATATTACGACCTTAAAAAAATATTAGTGAATGGCAGCAAGTTAGAACCTTAAAGGGCTTCTGTGTAAAGTCTATCTCTCACCTTAGATGGGCGAGGACAGCCATTGCCTGGGATTTTTCGTGGTTATCCCCTCATATCACCAAAAACAGGTAAGAGAAGCAGAGACATGAAGAAGATCCAGCATGTAGCGCTACAGGCCAGCAGGACAAAAAGGAAAGGAAAAATTCAACTTTTTTTATTTTATTTGCAGGAGTGGGAAAATCCAAGAAGAATCCAGCCAAAGCTGCAGCTAAATACGGTACAGACCACAGTTGAGGTGTAAGCCTCATTTTCAACATCAATAATGCAAAAGTAACTGAATAATTGTGGTCTAATAGAAAAATACTTTGTTTAAATTTGTATTTATGGAGGTGGAGCTGGAGGCGCACTTGGTCAAGGAGGCACTTTTGGGGGTGGGGTTGGAAGAGTTCCTGGAGGGGGAGTCTCACCTGGGTTAGGTGGTGGAGTTGGCACAGGAGGCGGACCTGGATTTGGAGGCGGAGTTGGAACAGGTGGCGGTATTGGAACAGGAGGTGGAGTTGGAACAGGAGGGGGACCTGGATTTGGAGGCGGTGTTGGGACAGGAGGCGGACCTGGATTTGGAGGTGGAGTTGGAACAGGAACTGGACCTGGATTTGGAGTCGGAGTTGGAACTGGAGGTGTCCCTGGATTTGGAGGTGGAGTTGGAACTGGAGGTGTCCCTGGAGTAGGTGGTGGCATACCAGGCTTAGGTAATTCCATACTCCTGTCAAAGTTACATCATGCATCCATTCAGAAATCTTCTATTCATAGATGTTATTTATAAATTCTGAAAATTCTTCAACAAACAAGATTTGAAATTAAATATGTTTATTGGGGTTTAATGGGTCCTTTTGTGGTTTGGTAACTTTGTATTCTGATATGGCCACAGGTTATGGCCCAGGTTCAGCCAAAGCACGCAAATATGGTGAGACACGTTTCTTCATTTCTGTAAAATACCCAAATTACATGATGAATATGTGTTGTTTGCAACACTCGAAGTGCCTTAAATTTCTCCAGGTGGTGGAGGTGTCGGGACTGCAGGAGGGCCTGGTTCTGGAATTGGAACAGGAGGGGCAGGTGGTGGCTATGGTTTTGGTCCAGGTGGCTCAGGTACTGGCACATCTGGAGGCCTTGGAGGTGTGAGACCTGGCTCTGGAGTTGGTTTTGGTCCCAGTGGTACTGGCACCAGACCAGGTGGTTTTGGCTATGGTCCCAGTGGTACTGGCACTGGACCAGGGGGTCTTGGCTATGGTGCAGGTGGTACTGGCACTGGGTCAGTAGGAGTGGGACCTGGGGGTAATTATGAATCACTATATTAAAATCTCATATTAAATATTAAAATATACATAAACTATATTGTACACTACTATCAACACTAACTTGAGAATGTGCAGTTATGAAACCAAATCTATGACATTATCAAAGACATACAATATACATAAATACTATAATTTTATTTCAGGGTATGATGCCAGTGCCAAAGCTCGTAAATATGGTAAGACATAATTTCTCTATTTATTATAGATTATTCATCAAAATAAATCAAAGTAGCTAAAAATTAACAATTTTCTCCTGAAAGGTATGTTAAGTGGGGCTCTTGGCGGTCCAGGAACAGGTACTGGAGGACTAAGGCCAGGTGGTGCTGGAACTGGTTATGGCCCAGGCGGCGTTGGCCCAGGCGGCGTTGGCCCAGGCGGCGTTGGCCCAGGCGGAGTTGGCACTGGCTATGGCCCAGGTGGACTTGGGCCAGGTGGAGTTGGCACTGGCTATGGCCCAGGTGGACTTGGACCAGGTGGAGTTGGAACTAGCTATGGCCCAGGTGGAGTTGGACCAGGTGGAGTTGGAACTGGCTATGGCCCAGGTGGAGTTGGACCAGGTGGAGTTGGAACTGGCTATGGCCCAGGTGGAGTTGGACCAGGTGGAGTTGGCACTGGCTATGGCCTAGGTGGAGTTGGACCAGGTGGTGCTGGCACTGGCTACGGTCCAGGCAGCGTTGGACCAGGTGGGGTTGGCACTGGCTACGGCCCAGGTGGAGTTGGGCCAGGTGGAGTTGGTACTGGCTATGGCCCAGGTGGAGTTGGACCCGGTGGTGCTGGCTATGGCCCAGGTGGAGTTGGACCCGGTGGTGCTGGCTATGGACCTGGAGGTATGATAGAAGAGAAATAAGGAGCCATGTCAGAATTAAAATGGGTCCACTGGCTAATATAAAACTAATGCTGATGCGTTTGCAGGTTATGCTGGAGCCAAAGCGCGCAAATATGGTAAGAAACAACCTACTAAATGTCTGATGACATTGATGCAGTAAATTTGCAATTTCATAAAATATATGTATAGAGAATATCAGAATATCCACCTGAACTCACACAACTATGTACTTCTAATGAATGTTACTAATCACACCTTTAGTTTTGACATCTGACAAGTCTGTGGATCTGACAAGTTTTTGTTTTCTCAAAAAATCCTGCTCTCTGCAGGTGTTCCTGGAGGTACTGGAGGTGCCCTTGGTGCAGGAGGCCTTGGAGGAGGAACCGGGCCTAGTTCTGGGCTTGGAGTTGGAGTAGGGGTTCCTGGACAAGGTGGAGTGTCAACAGGTGGTGGACCGGGGCTAGGACTCGGGGCAGGTGGTATACCGGGGTCTGGTGTTGTGACAGGAGTTGGACCAGGTGGATTTGGACCAGGCAGTGCTGGAGGTACAGACATGAAACGCCTGTCTTATAGTTCTAAATATGATACACTTAGCTTTAAAGGATTTGTCCCCTCGTGCTTATCTCACAGGATATGCAGAGGGACCCAAGTCTAAATATAGTGCAAACTAATGTAATATACATGAGCATTAACACAGGAAGAGTTCAAAATATAATGTAATTTTATAATTAAATGAAGGCAATAATTTTAAGTTTCTTACATCAGATTTTGGTAGGAATTATAATCAGTCAATTAGAATTAAATCATTTTTGATATAAAATTTTAAACAGCAACAATATTTAAAATATTTCCATGGTTAGAAATTGTTTTTCTTTTTAAAGATATTTTAAGCTTTTTTTATAGATAAACTACTCACACACTTTTGAACCTTCCTAGGTCTTCCTGGTGGTGGCACGGGCCCAGGGACTGGAAGAGGATATGGACCTGGTGGTTATGGGCCTGGAGTTGGCACAGGCTATGGACCAGGTGGAGGTTATGGTCTAGGACCAGGGACTGGATTTGGACCAGGTTTAGGAAGCAATGATAATTTTGCTAGACAATTCTGATTGTAGCTCTTTAGAATCTTTAAAATGAAACTTTTTATGTGTATTTGCAGGTTATGGACCTGGATTAAAACCTGCTAAATATGGTATGAATGTTTTTTTGTTTTTTTTTCAAACTGAATTCTCTTACTTCGTGAATAATGGTGAAAATATCTTCATATGATTTTGATGAAGGCCCAGGTGGAGCTGGCACAGGTGGAGTACTTGGAGTGCTCCGAGGGTTATTAAAAGCTAAAATATTAGTTGCTCATTTCTTTTTGTTTGTTTGTTTCAAAGTTAGCAAGGAAAATTAGGTACAAAAAAAAATCATCCCATTCAGGAAAAGTAATATACAACAAGCTACACACTCACTATTCCTGTTGTTTCTAATGTTTACTTAAAATAATGTTTTTTACTTTTTTTTTTAACCACATTTGATTTGTTGTGATCCTCAGGCTACGGCACGGCTGGATCTAAAGCTGCAAAGTTTGGTAAGGTGTAGTCTGACAAGTCTGTGTCAAGTGGAAAATAATAAATAAACTTTTTAAGCACCTCTTTTGAATTTACCTCTTTTATAATCTGTAGGGCAACCTGGTGGAGTTGTACCTGGGACAGGAACTGGAACCAGCACTACAGGAGCAGGAACAGGGACCGGCCCTGGCGTTTCAGCGAATGGAACCACCACTGACACCAACCAGACAACAACCAGAACAAGTGGTGAGCCTCTGTGCTAAGGATTAAAAAAAAAGATCATATTACAGTTAACTATCATTTTCACAATTTACGAGTTCAATTGTCTATTGCTGGATCAGGAGGAAGACTTGAAGACACAAGAGGCACACCAACCCCGGCAACAGAAGGTATCTGTGCAGTGTTAGAGTAAACACACACAATCAATATGCAAACACGTTTTATTTGACTATTTAAATTTATATTACTAATCATTCCAGACATTACATGGAGTGCTAGTTTCTAATCTCAGTCCTTTTATTATTCTGTCCTTGTTTCAGGTGATGATATTTACACTGTGATAGAGGGGTCTGGAAGTCCTGGTGGAGAGGGTGTGTGAAACTCTCTGGATTCTTGAGAACATTTTCTTATGTTGAAATCATCCACAGACTTTTGTGCATATGACAATTCTCACAATCAATCAGGTCAGGAATTCTGATGGTTGCTGAAGATGGTGCACAAACAAAGAAGCAACACAAAAAAACAAACAGCAACAAAAAGAAACCTTAATTTGTAAATATTTGTTCGAAATAAGTTTTCAGATGTGAAAAGATTCCTACATAATTATTAAAACAGGAGGTACCGGTGTCGGTGGCAGACCAGCGGGTACAGGGAGTGACGGAGATCGTCTAGGTGGAACAGGAATCCCCATCATTGGACCCAAGCCAGGTATTTTTGGCCATTCATGCTACAGAGATATAGATATATGCATATCATAATTACTTAGTTACTGGTTGAACCACGTGTTTCAGAAATACCTGTATTAGTTTAAAAGTTGTATATTAGTTGAAACTTTCTGTCATCTAAGCAGTATTACTTCAATTTATGTTATTTAATCTATCTGTATATAACAGGAATCAACGGGACAACACTTCCAGGTCAGAGATTCTGTATTTATCCATTTCTGTGCATCAGTAGCTGTGTCTTTGTCTTTCACTGCTTTCCTGTTCAAGTCATTATACAGATTTCAGCTACATTTGTTGTGAATCAAAAGAGCTGGATTTCTTACATTTGGGGGTGGACAGTGCCACCATGTGGCCATTTGAAGTATACATGGGCGATCGTGGCTCAAGAGTTGGGAGTTCACCTTGTAATCGGAAGGATGCCGGTTCGAGCCCCAGCTTGGACAGTCTTGGTCGTTGTGTCCTTGGGCAAGACACTTCACCTGTTGCCTACTGGTGGTGGTCAGAGGGCCCGGTGGCGCCAGTGTCCGGCAGCCTCGCCTCTGTCAGTGCGCCCCAGGGTGGCTGTGGCTACAACGTAGCTTGCCATCACCAGTGTGTGAATGTCTGTGTGAATGGGTGGATGACTGGATATGTAAAGCGCTTTGGGGATACAGGCCATTTACCATTTACCATACAACATGGTTGCCACAAATTCAGATTTTGACTTACATATTCAACCATTACTAAAACATTTTTAATCTTTTCTCCAACAAATTTCATCCAGTTACTAATCAGCAAATAAATAATATTACAGACTAGTAGATCTAAAACAACAAGCACTCCATGAGAGCAAATGTCCACCAAGCCAGCGCAGCATTTACTTTTGAGGGAACTGCATTGTATAATGTAGATATCTATTTTGCTTTTTAAATTCTTTTTAAATGTACTTTAAGATGTTTGTACTGCAGTAAAAATCAGGTAAGGGTATCCAATGTTAACTTTGATTGCAGAAACTCTGAAAATACTTTCTTGAAAGATAAAAAAAAAAGTTTGGGGTCAACTTGAAAGAAAAGAAGATGTAAAATATAAAACTGGGAATATGCCCTAAATGTTGCCAATGCAAACAAACGGCAGTAGAAAGCATAGTTTTAAAGATAAAAGACATTTTATGAAAGATTGACCGTAATTGAAGTTTAAAATGAGCTCAGAGGTCCAAAATAACATGACATTTACAATCCCCATGTATCATCCCTATATGCTCACATGCTGTCAGTACAAACGATGGCAGTAAGAATCACTGTTTTAAATACCTCTTTATAGCTTTACAGTCACTTTCAGTTTCTGATCAACCTATTGAAACTGAATGAGAGGTCAGAGGTCAAATGTGAGATGATATTTTAAATCTTTATATGGTACTCTATATGTTGACAATAGGCACCACACTTCTAAGAGTTATGGTTTTTAAGTCATACAGCTTTTTTCAACCAATAAATCACTGAGTTGATTTTTAAGATCTTGGTGGATGCAAGCCAAATTTTAATGGATGGTTAAGATAACCCCACTCTACACTGAGCCATCATGTTTACAGACAGAAAGACAGAAGAGATAAATATATTCATACTATAGTAATCTGAGTGCGATGTGGTAAACAATGTACTTTATACTTAAGATAATATTGTCTACATATAAAATCGTGCCCCTTACTTTGCTTTAGTGCACATTTTGTCTTGTATTTGTACACCATTGCTTTGTTGATGGTCTTACGTGACACACCCAGTGTATGTGTGCAATAGCAAATTAAGTTCTTTTCTTTATTTCATGTTTTATTATTGATATTCTTCAGTGTAAACTGGCTGCAGTATTTTCACACCTACCAAACCTGCAGCAGATGACAACTCTCAAAATCCAAAAACTTGAATGAACTGATTACAGCAAGCAATAAATATCTTTGTGTTCTATTAAGTGTTACGAGGCATTAGGGGTGTGTGATTACAGGTCAGTAAAATGCCAATACAATTTCCTGATGGGAGATCTTTATTTACTGAGCAAAATCTAATGGTCACGAAGATTAGAGTTAAAACACTGGTGACATTTTAGGGGACATCGAAATATATTCTAACTGCAAAGCATCCAACATCTGTGAGGCAACAGGAAGTCCACTTCTCTTCTTTGAATTTATAACAGTTAAACTAATAGCTTTCTTCCTACATTCCACAGGATCCACAGGCGTGACCCCTGGTAAGTTAGTATAAATAATTAACACTGAGATCTTATTTGAAGGAAAGCAGATCTCATTCTAAACAGTACTTGACTATAGAGATTGAAAAAGCATGTGCATTTGAATATAAAACTGAGCATGCAGTGACACACTGACTCCTTTTTGATGTGGCTCGTGTTATTTCTCCACTAAAATGCTGTCACGGCTGTCACTGGTTTACCTGAGAGTACCAGAGAATACTGCATGGCAGACTGAGACCAGTTAACAGCTGCAAATTGAAACAAATTCAAAGCATCTGCTTTTGAAATTATGTTGCTTAACTTTTTCTGATTTATGCTTTTACAAATAAATCTGTACTGCTGTTGTTACAGTCGTTGGTGGAGCTGCGCAACCAAGTGGTATGTAAACCTCCATAAACTGCTAAAGTTTAAATAAGTGCTGTCAGGATTTTACTTACCAGTGTTTCTGGTTTCAAACAGTTGGTGCAGGTGTTGGTAAGTAGGCCTATATTTCTGATTTCTGAAAGATACAAAGATATCAGCAAACACTGCTGTGTCATATTTACACTGGCAACTCTCTTGAACATTTCTCTTTAAAATTCAGGTGGGACAGGACTTCCCCCTACAGGTGAGATGTATGAAAGCAAGATGCAGTGCACAGCATTTCTTTGATGTGTTTCTTGCAAAGTTATTCACAAATTAATATTATTTCTAAAATCTGGCCTTTTACAGGTTCTGGTGGTGATCTGACTGGAGTCAAACCCCTCAAACCCCCAGGTGATTAAAACAGGATAAAAATAATCAATTACAAATTAAGTTTAGGGATTACTTACTTATACTGATCACAGATTCAAATCATAAGATTAGCAATAGGAAAAGACTAGAAGTGAGACTAAAAGGAAAAATAGCTACCATTTTGAATAAAGACTGTAAAGAGAAAGGTCATATCAGCTGCAATGGTGGTGAACACTCATCCGCACACCATCTATGTTCTGTCTGCAGGTGTCCCCAGAGGTGACACACCAGGTGAAGGTGATGGAGAAGGAGGCCCTGATGGATACAGGGGTGGTACAGCGGGTACAGGTGGACAGGGAGGAGTAGGAAGGGGTCCCACCAGTGCAGGAGTTGCAGGAAGTGTTTCAGGTGGTGTATCAACAGGAAGAGAAGGCAGCCCTGCTACTGGAACAGGTGTTGGTTCAGGAGGTGCAGTTGGAGCAACACCAAAACCACCTAAAGGTGCCACTTGTGCCTTTTAACTAACTATCCAACTTCTTGACAGTGTGTGCAACTTGCCATGACTAACAAATATTACAACAAAGAGTCATGAAGTATAAAAAAAAACATCACACACTGAAGGAAAACATCTAATATGTCTTCATATTTTTAAACTATAGCTTATAAACCTATAGCAGGAGGCACAAGTGGTGGACAGGGAGGAGTGGGAGTAGGAGTGGGAAGTGGTCCTGGATCTGCAGGAAGAGGTCCTGGAGCAGTGGGTGGAGGTCCTGGAGGAGGTGGTTTGGTACCTGGGGCTGGTGGGCCTGGTGCAGTAGGAACAGGAGGTGAGCTGCACTCATGTTTTGGTCCTCAAATGTTTGTGTATCCACGCTAAACTTAAATTCCTATAATACAATAACATAATGATTCCCAGTTTATGCACTTCACACATTTTTCTATTACAGGCTATGGTACTGGAGTTTTACCAGGGGGAGGTGCGCTACCTAAAACTATCTTTAACATTTAAATCCCAGCAAATTTAACAACCCACATTTGAGAATATTTTTGTTTTTCACTCACAGGCATTCGTTACCCTACTGGAGCTGGAGTAACAAAACCAGGCAAAGGTTTAGAAACTGAGAAATTATGTTCTCCTTTTTTAAATTAAGACTTTTTGTTTAATCTTTAGCTATGAGAGATGCTACACAGTCCATTCAGGGTGTTTATTCTTTCCATCAGCATATGGGACTCTTGGAACAGGGGGCCAAGGTGGGGTTGGCCCCGGTGGATATGGCACTGGTCCAGGAGGTTATGGCACAGGGCCTGGAGGTTATGGAACCGGTCCAGGTGGATATGGTACTGGGCCTGGTGGATATGGAACTGGACCTGGACGCTATGGTGGCGTAGGAGCAGGAGGAACAGGAGTAGGCCCTGGGGGAGGTGTTAGACCTGACGGTGAGTTTACATTGATCAAAAATATCTAATTTAAATAGTTTATAACTATTAGTATTAACAGTTTTAAATGCTCTGTTAACCAGGTTCTAGATATGGCACAGGTCCAGGACTGGGCACCGGCACTGGAAAACCACCTAAAAGTATAATGAAGTGAACACACAGAGTAAACCTACATAAAGGAAGTATAGAGAAAACTGAAACTAAACATTTAAAATATTTGATTTTTAGGCTATGGAGCAGGAGCTGGTGGTACTGGGTTTGGACCTGGTGGCTATGGGACTGGACCAGGTGGAATAGGTTATGGACCAGGTGGCCTTGTGCCTGGTGGCACTGGTCCTGGTGGTGCTGGGACCGGACTGGGTGGTGCTGGAACAAGGCCAGGTGGTATAGGACCAGGTGGTGCTGGCACAGGACCAAGCAGCTATGGACCTGGTGGAGTAGTAAAACCACCTAAATCAGGTATAATAAGCAAGTATTTATGACTAACAACATTCAATAAAGTATTATATATATGAACCCGACAGCTGAGTGGTCAGAGGACTAGAACTCTAAAAAGCAGACCCCTGATCCAAATCCAAGCTGGGACAATTTGCTGCATGTTTGTCTCCTGTTTAAAATCCTGCAGTTCTTCTTTTCATTATGCTGATGTAAAGACACAAAATTAAAAATGATTAGGAAAATATTTTATAAGCTATACTCAAGCTGTTAACTTCTGTTGACAGGCTATGGATCATCCTCACTAGGTGGAGCTGGCTTTGGACACGGTGAGAATTTATACTTAATCACTCGTGAAGTGTGTTTTTGTCAGTTCTTTGTCTATATATTAAAAAAAAAATCACCATCTGCTAGCCATTACATATGTACATACTGTTGTTTGAAAGGCAATAAATAACAAGTGGTGATACCTTCACTGTTGTGTGTTATGATAAAATATGAACTTCATCTGTGTAGGTTCTCAGTCACCATGGTATTTTTAAGAGCTCAAAAGAAGACGACTGGACTTTGTTAACTATTTAAAGACGTTTCACCTCTCATCCAAGAGGCTTCTTCAGTTCTGAATTAACTTCTTTAAATAACTTAAAGAAGTCCAGTTCTTTCAAGTTCTTAAGAGTAAAGGAAGTACACAAATCTAAATGTAGGTTGTTATTAGCAAAACATATAGCTGTGATTGATGTCAATAACCCAACTCTTATACTCTCGGCACTTCTAATTAAAACCAACATTTTTCATTTCAGAGGCTTCTTCTCTGAGGCAGGTATAAATATAATAAAAAGAACTTTTAAACACAAAACTTCCAGATAGAGTACACCACAGCCTGGTAAAACTATTTTTGCTTTTATTAAAAATGTGATAGGGTTACCAGTTAAGTTATGCCTGAATTTCAGGTACAGGAGGGTTTGGACCAGGCGGTGTTGGCACTGGAACTGGAGGGTTTGGACCCGGTGGAGCTGGCACTGGAACTGGAGGGTTCGGACCAGGCGGTGTTGGTACAGGAACTGGAGGGTTTGGACCCGGTGGAGCTGGAACTGGAACTGGAGGGTTCGGACCTGGCGGTGTTGGTACAGGAACTGGAGGGTTTGGACCTGGCGGTGTTGGCATAGGAACTGGAGGGTTTGGACCAGGCGGTGTTGGCACTGGAACTGGAGGGTTTGGACCAGGCGGTGTTGGCACAGGAACTGGAGGGTTTAGACCAGGCGGTATTGGCACTGGAACTGGAGGGTTTGGACCAGGTGGGGCTGGCACAGGAACTGGAGGGTTTGGACCAGGCGGTGTTGGAACAGGAACTGGAGGGTTTGGACCAGGCGGTGTTGGAGGATTTGGACAGACAGGACAAGGAAAAAGAAAACCTTATAAATCTGGTAAGCAAGGATTACATAAATAAGATCATTAGCTAAGATCACCAAATATACATAATGGCGTGTGGTGAACCTATAATTGGTGAACCGAGCGTTTTTTGATAATTATAAGAAATGCAGTGCCAGTAACAAGAAAGCCATACTAAGAGTTTTATCAGAGTTTTGTATTCATTGTTTTCTTCCTCAGTCTTAATTGGAGGAATGTTGGGCTTAGGAACAACGGTGAGACATGGTCTCAGATTTAGCTGCAGTAGGGAGGTATAAGGTGTGGTTTTTGATATCTCATTGTTGTTATGGTTTATATTACAACTGCTATGTAACTTAGTATTTTACTTTTGATTCCAGTGGATATATATGAGGGGAGTTATGGCGGATCTAGACTGTGGTAAAACAGGTACTGGAGGATTTTGAGCAATCGGAAGGTCTAGGGTACTGTGGATCGGGGTTCTTGTCCCTGCCAGTGTGCTCGGGAACTTGTTTGAGGCCCTGGCTAGAGGCGATAGGTCGCTGGGACTGCAGCTACGTTGCTCGTCCTGCTAGAAAAGCGACTGCTGGGGCGAGAGGACCTTCGTGCGTCTTGCCCTGGAAGGAAACAAAGTTGCTGCGGATAGGTGTTTGGCCGTGGAGTTGTGGTTTGGGGACTGGGGGGTTTTGACTCACGTGAGCGTGCCTCGCGGACTCATGGTACACGAGGGTCATTTGGCCCGCCAGGAGGTAGCTGGAGACATAATTCTGTGTGGAGCTTGTGGGGCTATCCTGGATGTGGTGTTGCTGCTTTTTATGGAACGTCGAGTAGAACTAGGTGTTTTGAGACCTTGGTACCCCAAATCTCTGTGGAAGCAAGACAGAAAAATGCCGTCTAATCCATTCAGCTCGTCTCCGAGCTGCGTGGAGCTGTGTGTTCTTAACTGAATCATATTCAAAACCATTCTGGATTACGAGTATTATAAGTCGCTCTAGAGCATTCGTTGATACGTTAAATCTTCATATTTCAAATTTATCTCTCATAAGACCCACGTGTACAGTATTCAACATGATGCTGACTCAGACCCTGTAATTTGCATTTCCTAAACCACTTATATTGTATTAAATTATTCAGAGAGACATTAAAAATAAGTTTCCAAGTCTCTTAGTACAACTCATGCATGATTGAAAGTGTTAAGCCCTTATTTTCGCTGCAGTCCGATTCAAATCAGCAGCACCGCTCTCTCAGTACAGATTAGGAGTTAAATACAGCTCAGCAAAATGCGAACAGATGGGAATCCATATGGATGTTGGTCATTTGTATTTGGACTGTGTTTGCTATTTGTGGTGGATCTCTTATGGACGGGAGAGTAGTCCTCACGCACTTCTAATAATGTGCTTGTGTCAGTGATGCATAAACTCTTGTCAGAAAGTAACCTGATGAATTAGATCGTAGCCCGAGCCTCTCGTTTACAAGTTAGGAGCACATGGTTACTGATGATCAATATCAGCGAGAAGTCAACAATATGATGTATTTGATAAGACCCAAATATGCCGTATATTTCCTTTAATAAACGCCATGGTCACCAAGAACTAGCGAGTTCTGACCTTCTTGTAGATTATATACTCTGATTTGTTCACTCGGTTGCTCTATTTTTCGTCCAACATAATTGTTGTTGTAATTATTTGTAACATTTATGTAATAATTAAATTAACACTTTGCTCAGGTGGATTCTTCTTAGTCGTTTGGTTATGTCGGAGAATAGGTTCATTCAGCTAATATCCTCAGTTATCTTGGGACAGAGAGGACGCTCACTGTGTGGATTCCCAAACGGATTGATTAGTTTCACATTAGGCTTCAGCATATATGGTCAGTCAAGATAAAGATAGTGATGTAGTTTAGCAGCCAAAGACACAATCACGACCCACACACATTTATCAATTTACAGAGCATCTCCCGCCAGACTTGTGAGAGAAACTTATCTTGACCTCGCATATAGTTACTACATATTTATTTAGTGAACTTAAGGTTGGAGGGTGTTTGGTCGATTTCTCTTCTAATAAGATCTTGTCTCCCTCTAGTGATTGGTCAGAATAAATACTAGGTATAGTGACATGGGTAATTAAACAATGAAAGGTGGATTATAAGCATTGTACAGTCTAATAGATGTCCTCGCAACGTGACGCTCTCATAGCAATCAATTCAGTTGTAACGCTAGTGGTTTCTATTTTTGCGGCCCTCTCTTTCTTTGTTTTATCATATTCCCTCAACTCGAAGTGATACTTAAGCTCTGCTTGTGTTGTGATTAAAAAGTTTAATAAGCTTCTGGTCTTTCTTTCTCTGCCAATTACTCCCACACTCTCATATCTGTTTAGGTAGCGTAGCAGGAGGTACAGGAGGGCTAGGAGGTCCTGGAGGAACTGGCCAAGGAGTTGGAGGACTACCTGGTGGGGGACCAGGTCAGTTAATATGAAAATATAGTCATTAGGATAATGAGAATGTGCTTTTAACATATTTCAAAACATCAAAATCAACAAAATTCATAGCTCTGCACTGTAAACATGGCACAGATAAGAAGTGCTTTGAAAGCTGTAATGTTTTTATTCTTCCAGGAGGTGCTGCTGGTCCTGGATATGGTGGGCTGGGTATAGGAAGTTATCCAGGTGAGACAGATTTGATCACATATGTCCTCTTTTTAATACTCAGCATACACATTTTAGTAAAATCATACAAAACTGAGAATAACAGGAAACAGAAAGCAGTGTTATTCTGAGATTGTTTTAAAAAGTCCATTGTAAGGTATAAGTTGTTTGTTATGACTTTATCTTTCCTGTTATTGTTCTCTAGGGTATGCGGGGGCTGGACAAAAATGTAAGAAAACTCACTGTGTCCTCTGGAATAAGCATGTCCAAATTAACAATGTTGGTCTAGCATTGGCACAAAGATACACAGATCGGATGAACATATTACTTTTGCTTATCTTGTTAGTGAAATATAATATATCAAGGATAATTCTGATTGTAACATGCATGCTTTTTTAATATACTGACAACTAAGTATCTAAACTCGTTTTCTTGTTTTTGTTTGTTTGTTTGTTTGTTTTACTATCATGACCTTCAGCTAAAGCGCAGAAGGCAGCCAAATATGCAGCCATGCAGGGTTTACTTGGATCCAGGGGCTACAGAGGTAAAAGTCATAGACATATTATAACAGTCCTGATCACTGCATTTCCTATGCAATACAATATTTAGCCTCACTTCTGTCGATTAGATAATAGTGTTGACAAATAATAATAATACAAAGTTTTTATAAGGTTTTATAAGGTGCAAAAGGGCTAAAAAGGATCATCTTAGCCCTTTGCTAGATGGTTGCAAGGCAACATGATGACAATATCCGATATAGATAAAGACCTCCGTGAGCCTGAGATGTATCTATGTGTCATGTTTAGTTGTTCAACTCCTGATTATCTAGCAGGAGTTTGCGGACAAAGAAACAAACATACGGACAGACAGATTTTCTATCATATAGTAAGAAGATGTAATTTACATTCATTTTAGGACTCATAGCGATGATATGTTCTTCTTCATGTGCTGCAACTTGAAAGGAATTTAAAAAAAAAAAAAACACAAGTAAAGATTTCCGCACCTCCCAATATACACTGTAATTATTTTCACATGCATACTAGACCAGATATTAAATGGTCTTTGGCCTGCCAGCTCCCCAGTACAAAGTCCTGTGATATCCAAATGCAACAATTTGTGTTGATGTGAGAATAGCACAGGTCCACTGAATCCATAGCTAGGTGGTTAGCTTGTGCATTGCTCATACCTGCTCTGTCCAGGCAGCAACCTAATCTAAAGCAAACTGAACATTTTCCAGCAAATTATTTGAAAGCAATCTGAAGCTGACGACCTCCTGCCATGTGCTACATGCAAGGAAGGACAAGGACAACCTGCTTCACCCGACACTGAAGTCTGACCAGAATTATTCTTTTTAGTTAAAAATAACATTTTTGCTTCGCAGGTGTAAGCCTCTGCGAACCAATCAAGTTGTAGTTTACAACTTGGTCTCTCCAGAATCACAGTGAAGCTACACTGAGACTGCATTGTTGTAGGCAAGATAAGATTTCATGTTGATGTTGCTACAAGCAAGCAACTTTGTAACCTAAATACAAACATAACTACAAATCAGCTCTGGACTACAAACTAGCTAAGGACTCAACCAACTGGGAGATCAAACTCACCCTCTAGTTATACATTTTAAGGGTTTAAGAAAAGTCATGTCATGTTTTTTGTGTGTGGCTGTAATCTTTGTGAGACTTTCAATTAATAAAAAAAACGAGAGTAGCTTCTAGAGTAAATTGCCAGACTCCTCTGTGAGTTTCCTCTGATCCAAAAATGTTTTCTACAGAAGTGACATGCTCAAAATTGGCAACAATTGGTAACACCCACAAATACAGGAACTCTGTGTCTGTGTAGGAAATGAACATTTGACCCTACAAACTAAGGGAAATATGTCCTGGAAGCTATTCTGAGTTAGTATAAAGTGGGATTTAACAGTTGTCATTTTATGTTGGTCTGGATGAACAGCGGAAGTCTTATTTAAACAATCTGCATACTGCATGTAAAGTGAAGAATAACGCTGCCTTTGTTCTGCTTTTTAGGAGCTGGCCGAAGGAGGAAGTGAGAAAGACCAAAAGACAGGAAGTGACCTCATTAAAACAACAGTGGTGCTATTGCATGATCCCACACTGTAAATGTCTTACCTGCCACAGAAGCTAAAGCTTCAGCACATCCCGCTTTTTACATTTCCATTTGCTTGGGTTTTATAAAAGGTTGCAGTGGTTCTCAACCGGATCAGATTCACCGCCAGGTGAAGATTGCCGTTTCCCTTTGTTAAATACTTTATTTCCCTTTTTTGGATAATTAAGTCATTTTATTTTGGTCAAATTATTAAATGTCAATTTCTCAAGAAAGTTTCAAAAATAAAATAACGTGGGTAGAAAACCCCAGAAATTCCTGATGATCGGGTTGAGAACCACTACAGTGAAGAATCAGCATTTCTTTTCATCACTTTTTGTCTGTCTTTGCTGTGTTGATTATCATTTGTGTTGTTATGCAAGTATTGGCACAAATCCTCTGGGTTAAGACTGACACCAAGGAGTCCCTCAGGGCAGCTCCTTCAGACCTGTCTGCATGCTGACGCAATGTGTAAAGAAATATAGGGCGACACTTCTACCCAGTTAAACTGGGATATGTCTGCAGAGTGAATGGCCGAGCAGACAATTCACTGTTAGCATCTTTTACATCAGTGGACAAACAAGTAGTGTGTACAGACACAGAGACAAACAGCTGCTGTCACAGGAGAAGATGAAGGCAGTATTTTATGCAGTAGTGGTAGTCTTTTGATCCTTGAAAAGCAGTCTCTGGCCATGTGAGCTGTACTCAGGCCTCAGTAGTATCAGTAATGGAGCCTGAGGATTCTCACAGATACCACTTGAGGCCCACCTGTGAGATTCTTCCACTCATTTCACAACTTAATGGCACTGTTTTATAGCCACATCACACTCAATGGTATAAATGTAAAATATTGGTTAGCGTGCATATATTTTAATTGTTAGGAGGGTGTATTTATCCTGACTTTCTGAATGGGCTTAGTTTTAGCTTTTACATTTGCTGTTGAGGTAAGCATTCAAGCTAAATGTGAGGTAATATGACTAGAGTACATGACATCCGAGGAGTACTGATTACTGCGTTTTCCTTCTGTTCATGAACCTCCTTTAACACTGTTGGGGAAACTGCTCACGTTTACTAGACTTTTTAAATTATGTTGAGAACTGTATTTAGCCTCATTTTACAAAGTCAAGTGCATTATTACAGTACTAAAATATTTGAGTTAGTCATTCTGTGTGTGTGTTTTTACAGTTTTTAAACCCGTTTACTACTATGATGAGTATAAGTGCTTTGTTTTCTACATTGTCCTTGAATGTGTGCTGAATCACAGTGCAGGCTGTGATGTCAGTGGGTCAAAAGTGGGGTGAGTGAATCTCGTCTTGCATTTGAGCTCATGTGCATCTCGAGCTCAGTGTGATTTTTAACATCTGTGTTTCTTTTTTTTTATGTGGCCTATGAAGAAAATTATGCACTTTTGTAAACTCTCTGACAATGCTCTCCGAAGTAAAGAGATGACCAATGACGACTTCTTTGTGTCATTATTTTATTGCTACTGGAGTAATTTAGCACGTACAAAAAAAAAACCCTATAATGAAACAACAAGGAGGGGTTTAACCACTTGGCAAGAGGAGGAAGCTCAACATCTAGAAGTAGATGTTGGTTTTTTAGCATATTGAACTGTGGTGGGTTCAACCGCAAGGTATGCTGTACTGAGAAAGGAAACAGACAACTGTGGCTTAGGGGAGTATAAAAAAAATGCAGAACAGCAGTGAAGCTTTGTGTACGTGGTGACTCATATGAAGAGTGAACAATTAGTTGTTGATGCTGTACAAACTTTAACAAAAAGACAACTATTATGAAGAGCTGCAGTGCATATTTGGGCGCTGATTGAGATTGGGTACTGCCGAGTCAACATCAGTTAGTGATAAAGTGCCAGCGTGACAACTCTGCAGACTTGGCAAGTTATTTTAAAAGTCTGCGCTCCCTAATTTGGTAATGCAGGTCAAGCGTCACAACAGAACAGTTAGTAATTGTCAGTGCAGACAGTCATTGTTGTGGGCTATAGACAAGGGTTTTGAGTGATGTTGGTTACATAACTGATTGGGCCTTAAAGTCAAATGAAGGGGGGCTTTGAAGCCATTTTGGCATCCCACTGCACTCTAACCTGAGTAGGAACAATGTGCATACAAAGCCAAGTTTCTGCTCTTTGTTTGGGTTAGAAATGGATTCAAGGTATTAAAGGTGCATTAGGCTGCTTTTCAATTACTAGTAAAACCTTAAAATGAAACTTATTTCAGCCAATGGGGCAACTACATCAGTTTAGTTTAAATAGTAATAGGTATCCTAAAAGTACAGTTCAAAATGTGACTAGAATTAGGGAACATCTATTGGTGTCTTAGGACAGGTGTAAGCATTGGCCATCCAAGTCTATTGCACTGCTAATATTCTGTGACACGAGGCTCAGTCACTTGTGAGTCTCCCTCATCATAGAAAGTCAACACAGCTTTTTCAGTTCAAACACACCAATTTATTTTCCAGCGCCCTGCCGTCGAGCCAGGCTCAGTGGACGTTCTTCTTTATAGTGTTCTTCTCTAGTTTCTCCCAAACAGTCCACACAGTACCTTTGCCAATTACTGCACAGCGTCTCCCAGCAGTGATTAGCTCATGCACAACAGGTGTGTCACTCAGCTCGCTTGGCACTGCTCCCTGAACCAGCTCCACCTCTCCCCTCTACAGCTGAGCTACACATCCACATTCAGCCAATTTGGAATCACAACCTAACCAAACATGCGTGACTTTGAACTGTAGAAAGAAACCGGAATACCTGGAAAGAATCCATGCTGACGCAGGGAGAGCGTGTAAACTCCATCGAAGAGGGTCCCTGATGACGAGCATGTTGAAACCAGATACCCTCTTCCTATGTGACCGTGTTAACTACTGCAGTACCGTGCTACCCTAGGATGGCATAGTCATACTTAACTTATTTCCTTACCAGTGACGAGAAGCAACCCTAAAGTCTTAACAGCACTTTCTATAGCGTTGTTAGATAACATCATTCTACTCCCAGCTCATGTAAGTATTTGCCTTTTACATGAAATATCACAAAAGAAGCAACATTTAACACAAACTAGCTTCTTTGGTCTAAAAAAAAGAAGACAAGAACAACTGGATATAGTTTTGTAGTGCTGTGCGTCATGCTGCCTGGAAGTTTTACAACACTGAAGCCTGGTAAAAATATTTGTTATGAGCAATACTCGCACAAGGTTTTGCTGATTAATTTGTTCATTATGCAGCTTACAGAGATGCAATGACTAACTCGGGCATGAGAAAAACAACCGAGGATGCAAATTAAAGTGAATCGGTAACTGAAAGTGGCATAAATCTATGACAGTATCAGTTTTGTGACAGAAGGGTCTCCTCCATATATCTACACCTGTTTCTGCTTTTCTGTCTGCAGTGCAGATTCTCTCTGGTT